GCCAGCTGAAATATCGTGGCCCATGGCATCCCCCCCCTTTTTTGACCCCATTGGGATATGCAATAGGGAGTAAGTATTGTAGTCATTATGTATCCTGTGAGATGTGCATTTTTGCCTAAACTGTTTTAACTGTCGACTTTTACTGCACTTGTGCCTTAATTGTTCTGTTGCATTTTTATCACACTTTTGTGCCTGTGTAAGCCGCCCTGAGCCCGCGTGCGGGGAGGGCGGGGTATAAATGAAAATAAATAACTAAAAATAAATAAACGTATTGGGTCTGAATGTATCACTTGGCTTGGTATGATTAAAAGGTGGCTAGTATCTTAAAGATGGGGCTGCGGTGGCTCAAGTGTTTAAGACGCTGAACTGCAGACCGGAAGGTCGGTAGTTCAGCAGTTCGAGACCCAAGTGCCGCAAAGACGGGAGTGAGCTCCCGTCTCTGGCCCCAGCTCCTGCCAACCTAGCACTTTGAAAGCAAGAAATTGCAAGTAGATCAACAGGTACCGCTTCGGTGGGAAGGTAACAGCTCTCCGTCCGCCTCAGCGTCTAGTCATGCCGGCCACATGACCACGGAGAAGTCTTCAGACAGCGCTGGCTCTTCGGCTTGGAAACGGAGATGAGCACCGCATCCCTAGAGTCGGATTCGACTGGCTTTCGAGCAAGGGGAACCATTATCTTTACTATTATCTTAAAGAGGCCTCGTTACGTTCCCTTACTCTACGTCAAAAATGTGTAGGCCATGAGTTTTGGCCTTGGCCTCATCTGAAAGACTGCACTGTTTGATCCTTAGCCTGCGGTTGAACCGCGTGGCCATCTCCACAGAGAATCCGAATCCTGAAGGTGGAGAGATAAAAGATGACTGGCCCCTGACACAAGGTGACGATTTCCTTTCTTTGGGTACCACGAGTTACAGAAATGTTTCTGTCTTAAACAAACTGCTGAAGTTGGGTTTTGGTAGGCTTTGGTCCCATTTCCGCGTTAGGAACAATAATGTTGACGGCTTCACAACTCATTGACAGTGTGGCAAACAACTGGCTCACAACTTGAATAAAACTCTGTTGGTCTTAAGGGTGCCGCTCTGGACTCTAAAGCTGTTCTACTGTCTTCCTATATGTAAGGGTTGAGGAAATTCTGTTTCACTGTATCGGAAGAAGTGTACTTGCATAAAACTCTGTTGGTCTTAAAGCTGCCGCTCTGGACTCCAAAGCACTTCTACTGTCTTCCTATATGTAAAGGGTGAGGAAATTCTGTTTCACTGTATCGGAAGAAGTGCGTTTGTACACAAAAGCTCACACCTTGTAAAAACTCTGTTGCTGATGAAGGTGCGGCTCTGGACTCTAAAGGGGGGGGGGAGAGACAAGGCAGCCCGGCCGGGCACCTGCAAGAGACTGGTCGGGAGACGGCTCCGCGCAGTGCAAAGACAGCAGGCTCGGCGCTTTCGGACACCCCCCCAGGCCCTCCCGGCAACCACAGGCGCGCACCCGCAACCAGGCTCACCAGAGTCCGCCCCCCCTTCCGACGCCAGACCGATTTTCCCCGAGGCTAGCCCCGAGGCTAGAAGAGCGGACAGTAGGGAGGAAAGGAGACAGGGAGGCAAACTGGAGGAGGAGGAAACGGGTGAGGGAGGGAAATCCACACCGTGAAAGGGGGTGGTGGAGGAGTCTGCGGCCAGCAGGTGGCACTGAGAGTGTACCTTGACCCCCTCATTGTAGCTGTCCACGGGGCTGTTGAGGCTGGCGAGGCTACCCAGGTGGCCAGGAGCTCCGGGGCGAGGCGGTTTCTTTGGTGGGGCAGAATGATCTAGCAAAAGCAAAGGAAAAAACACCTTATATGTAACAATAAAGGGGGGGGGGGAAACCCCTGCTGTTGTTAGCTTCATTTAATCACAGTAATGGGGAGTTAGAATGCACCAAAAAACACTTTCAGGTTCGATCTTCATTAGGAACCCCCCCACACACACTCACGCTCACACACAAATCAAGCCTTGAAAAAAAGAAAACGTTAGGAACAGTTCGATGTTGGCACTGAACACATCACATCAAGCCATTCTTTATCAACGACCATAAAAATAAATCCAAACTTGTTTGAGAGCCAGCATGGTGGGGTGAGTGGGTAAGAACGGGGGGACTCTGATCTGGGAGAACCGGGTTTGACTCCCCACTTCTCCGCATGCAGCCAGCTGGGTGACCTTGGGCCAGGCCCCACCCAGCTCACAAGGTGCCTGTTGTGGGGAGGGGAGGGGAAGGCAATTGTAAGCCACTTAGAGACTCCCTAGGGTATAGAAAAGCAGGGTATACAAACCAGCTCTTCCAATCTTCTTGTTTGTTTTTATCTGTGAACACCACTAATGTCAGAAATACCCAAATTCCCTCCTCCGCCATCAGCTAATAGGGCGGCTCCGGGCAAGTTACTGGTCAAGACCCACAGTTATTTTCCACTGGAGACCGGGGGGGGGGGCATTTACACCAATTGCTCCTCCCCCTGCAGGGGGAGGAGAGGGGATTGGGCCCCGACCTGGATGGCCCAGGCTGGTCTGATCTCCTCAGATCTCAGAAGCTAAGCAGGGTCAACCCTGGTTTAGTACTTGGATGGGAGACCTCCAAGGAAGTCCAGGGTTGCTACGCAGAGGCAGGCAATAGCAAACCACCTCTGAATGTCACTTGCCCTGTCCTGGATGGCCCAGGCAAGGCTGATCTCATCAGATCTCAGAAGCTAAGCAGGGTCGGCCTTGGTTTAGTACTTGGATGGGAGACTACCAAGGAAGGCCAGGGTTGCTATGCAGAGGGCAGGCCATGGCAAACCACCTCTGAATGTCTCTTGCCTTGAAAACCCCACAGGGCCACCATAAGTCAGCTGTGACTGGAGGGCAAAATAAGTAAATAGAGGGGGGTTGCCTTGGGAACAGGGAGGTGGGAAAAAAGTAATATCTTGTTGAAGGTTTTCACGGCCGGAGTTCATTAGTTGTTCTAGATTTTCCGGACTGTACGGCCATGGTCTTGGCATTGTAGGACCTGACCTGGCATCCAGTCACAGCTGCTGGCAAAACGTTAGGTCCTACAATGCCAAGACCACGGCTGTACAGCCCGGAAAATCTAGAACAACTAATGGGGAAAACTAATTTTGCTTGCAGACCTTTGAATGTCTCAGCCTTTGAGGACTGAAAGAGAAGAGCTTTTTTTGGTATCCAAAAAGGGGCCGATTGACAGACTGTGGCTTGTTTCATATTCTTAAACAAAGTGCAAATCCTGAGCCTTGTCAAATGAACAAATGGGTGTTTGTATGTGACATCTGAATACATGTATATTAACTTGGTTTGGTGTAGTGGTTGAGTGCGCGGACTCTGATCTGGGAGAACCGGGTTTGATTCCCCACTCCTCCACTTGCACCTGCTGGATGACCTTGGGCAAGCCATAGTTCTGGCAAGAGCTATCCTTGAAAAAGAGCCATTTCTGTCAGAGCTCTCTCAGTCCCACCTAACCTCACAGGGTGTCTGTTGTGGGGAGGGGAAGGGAAAGGAGTTTGTAAGCTGCTCTGAGACTCCTTCGGGTAGTGAAGGGCGGGGCATAAATCCAATCTCTTCTCCTCTTCTTTATTTATGGCTTGGTTTACTATTGATGATTATACCCTGTTGTTTTATGATATTGTTATAGGATATTTTTTTAAACTATGAAAACTGCCTCAAGCAGCTCTCTGGAGAGGCAGCATATATATATTCTCTACATAAATAAATACAACAAACAATTTAAGGTATAGCTTAAAGCAATTGTCAACCAAACTCGCTTCATATTTCCAAACTGGAGACAATTCACAATGTCGTACTTAAGTTATACATTTACTCAAAGGAGTTAACTTGGAACAGCCACTCCTGAGTTGTGTGTGATCCAAGTCATTATTCTAGGCTGCTCTAAACCCATCTGGCACTCGTCACCTTGGGTCACTGTGGTCCACCACAACTGCCAACTGGCCTGGAGAAGACATGAACCCATGAAGCCGTCTTGTATCGGATCAGGTCCGCTTGGCCCATCATGGTCAGTATTGCCTACTCCGACTCGCAGCAGCTCTTCAGCGTCTCAGGCTGAGGTCTTTCACATCGCCTACCGCCTGGCCCTTTTAACTGGAGTTGCTGGAGACTGAAGTTGGGACCTTCTGCGTGCAGAGCCAAGGCTCTTCCACGGAGCTACGGCCCATTCTGGAAAAATGTTCCTGGAACTGAGCCTTAAATGCGTGGGAAAGGGCTGGCAAACCCTTTCGTGACACGGAGGTAAATAACATCACTTGGGAAATAACATTTCATTAAGCCTCTGTTACAGGAACGGGGCATATTTTCTGCAGGCCACTTGGCACCCACGGTGTTCACGACCCACCAATGCTCCCTCTCAGCTGTGTGGTCTTGTGAGGAAAAATCCTACTTTGTGAGCTCCTGGCATTAAAGTTGCGAGCGAGCGATTTGGCTGCTTCATAAATTAGTTTGCTCTGGAGCCATCCCTTCCTGAGCGAAGACGAAAATGTGGGAGCCGGAGGCTAAGAAACTGTGAGCTAGCTCACACTAACTCAGCTTAGAGGGAACACTTCTACCCACCCATAAACCTGTTATTGCTGAGGCAAGCAATGTCCAGACGGACAGCGGAAGGGACCCTGGATTCCTTCTCAAACGGTTCTCCTGGCTTTGGACAAGCATGGACGCATGAAGCTGCCGTCTACCGAATCCACCAAGGTCAGCCTTGTCTGCTCAGACTGGTAGTGGCTCTCCAGGGTCTCAGGAAGAGGTCTTTCCCATCACCCACCACCTCGTCCTCTTAACTGGAGATGCCGGGGATTGAGCCGGGGACCTTCTGCATGCAAAGCAGATGCTCTGCCACTGAGCCACGGCCTCTCCCAAGGGCACTGAGATGCTCCTGAAGAGTTCAAGCCAGGCAGGAACTGAGGCACTATCGGCCCCCTTGCTCCCTTGCTGTTGAGCTAGAGATCATGTTCTACATAAGAGAAGCCAATGTTGGATAAGGCCAATGGCCCATCCAGTCGAACACTCTGTCACACAGTGCCCAAAAATACCAGGTGCCATCAGGAGGTCCAGCAGTGGGGCCAGGACACTAGAAGCCCCCTCCCACTGTTGACCCACCCCCCAAGCATCAAAAAGACAGAGCATCCCTTGCCCCAGACTGAGAGTCCCTATCTCTACCTTGTGGCTAATAGCCACCGATGGACTTCTGCTCTTGAAGCTGTCCATGCTTGAACGCATGGGATTCCTCTTGAGTTGCTACTGGAAAAACGTGGCTTACCTCTCCAGTCTCTGAGGTATCCTCCCCCCAAAAAAAACAAGAGAAAAAGGGGAGAGAAATAAGAGTTCAAGTCAAGCTATCTGTTTATGGCTTACCTGGTTTACCCACAGGCTGATAAATATGCTGGTTAGAGGCCTGGAAAAAGGACAATAAATTTAGTCCATCACAGTGTTTATGTGCAACCCCCTCCCTCCATTGAACACCCCCTGCCCCCAACCCTAAGCATCAGAGGTTGATCCAACCACAAAGAAATGCCTGGCATATTTCTCCCTCTCCCATCTGTCTCAAATGTCAGGAGAAAAAACAAACTCTGAGTGTAAATCATGCTCCTGAGGAATAAAAAAAGACCCCTTTATCACAGACTGTTTTGCCCTGTATCTGTGCGATATATCCAAGTTAAGTCACTGTTATCTGTTACTCAAACAGATTGGAATTTTATAGCAAACTATGCCTTCAGTCCAAAAATACCTCAATTAAAATAAATCATGGCTACCGAGCCCGCAGAAATGGAGTTTGAAAAGGTCTTTCCTTATTGTTCCAAAATAATAGAGGAGATTAACAGCCCCCCCAAAGCAATTATGGTTCTGTTTCACAATCAAAAGGCCTCGATTAATAATTTGGGAAGGCTTGAAACCTAATGGTTATTTGTCCAGCTCTCTTGCCAATTCAAATAAAAGTCCGAACGGTCACCGCGCAACAAATGTGACATTTGCGTCTGCTGTTTTCGTTTCCAAGTTCTTGGGAAACGTTTATTTAGGAAAAGCTTTTTTTTAATGAAAAAGGGCATCTGCAGCGTTTTCTATTGCGCACTGAAAGTGCTGACCCGGGTGGGGCCCTAAGGAAATCGGAGCGGGGCGGGTTTGTGGTATGAACAGTGACTTGGAATAGAGAACGCTTATAGGCCGGGATCTTAAACCTATGCAAGAGCACCAGCTGGGTTGCTCTGACTTTTAATCAAGGCATATCCAATAAATGATAACTGCCAATATCCAGAGTATTCCGAGGTCACCTCCCAAAGCAGTGCCAAGCCACAGAGTGCCTGCACAAACTCATCTGCTCCCACCAATAAACCCACAATAATGCTCTGCACTGATTCATTCAACATGTTCTTGCTAGCTGTTGCTACCTTCCTTGCTAATATATTCATTCATTCATTCTCTCTCTCTCTCTCTCTCCCTCCCTCCCTCACATACACTCACACACACTCACACTATCACACACACATATGCTTGAAAAAATGAACTTAACTGAACTTTCACCCTTGAAAGCTGGAAAGATTAGGGAAAAGACTCTTCATCAAGGCTTCTTCTCACTTAACCCGAGATAAAAGGTATGAAGCTCAGGCTCGAATTAGACTAGACCAGTGGTGGCGAACCTATGGCACGGGTGCCAGCGGTGGCACTCAGAGCCCTTCCCGTGGGCACACATGCCATCGCCCCAGCCAGGCACAGACCATCATTAAAGTGTCGAATTCTCTGTCAAATAATTTTAAGTAAATGAAAGCATTTGGGATTCCTTTCCTTACTTTGTTTGGATCATGTTAAGTTAATGTATGAGTGGTTTTTTCTAAAGTAAAACCTCAGTATTCAGGTTAAATTGCTGTGTTGGCACTTTGCGATAAATAAGTGGGTTTTGGGTCACAGTTTGGGCACTCGGTCTCTAAAAGGTTCGCCATCACTGGACTAGACAGTGAGAATCACACACCTGAGGGAGCCAAACCTGCCCTCTCTTCCTTGAAGTCTATTGTCCAACCTCCCCCACCTCCCCCTTCAAATAACAGAAGCGACCCTGGGGGCGGGAGACGTTGCCTAAAGCGACAAAGTGTGGGGAGCAGGATGAGGTTTGAGCCCCATTTGATGTAAAACTTAGATCCCCCCCCACACACACACACTTTATATGTGAAGGAGGAAGGCATGTGAGAGACAGATGCTTGGCCTTTATTCTGGGGAACTCAGGAGCTCTGGTGCACACATGCACTTCCAGCAGTGGCCAGGAGCCTTTCATTTCAGCCAGGGGTTTGAACTAGAACAGCCATAAAGGAAGATAACTGTATGCTCTGCATCTATAGCAGAAACAAGCCGAAGCCCACAGTGCCGGGGCTAGGAATGCACCAACCTCATGGCTGGCCTGCGTGTCCCTGCTCTCCTCATCACAGATGATCAGCAACGTCCTATGGGGGGGGGGGCATAGTTACATAGTTCCTGCTCCCCTGAGCTCAAAGAGCACTGCTGCACATGTGCAAGCACAGGAGGAGGAGGAGACTGGATTAATACCCCGCCCTTCACTACCCAAGGGAGTCTCAGAGTGGCTTACAAACTCCTTTCCCTTCCCCTCCCCACAACAGGCACCCTGTGAGCTAGGTGGGGCTGAGAGAGCTCTTTCCAGACCTGTCCTTGAGAGAACAGCTCTGACAGAACTTGTGGTTTGCCCAAGGTCACTCCAGCAGGTGCGAGGAGGAGTGGGGAATCAAACCCGGCTCTCCCAGATCAGAGTCCGCGCACTTAACCACTACACCAAACTGGTGCATGAATGAAAGCATGCTCCCAATCCAAGCATGATGGGCACCAAGAGCTGCTTCGCTCCATCGGGCCCTAACAAACCAGAGACTCAAGCTGTTCCAACAGCCACGCTTATTGGGTGCAGACACATCTCAACCCAGTATCTGCACAGTATCTCAAAATGGGGGGAAACTTTTAAAAAATTAACATTCAGCCTTTTTAAAGACACACAAGTTTAGGAAACAGTGTCTTGAATATATAGCTTCCCTTTAACCAGCCCATGAAGTAATAGTCTCGGACGTTCGGGTGGCTCAAGTGGTTAAGACGCTGAACTGCAGGCTGTGGAAGGTCGGTAGTTCAGCAGTTCGAGACCC